GCTGCCGACACTCGGTGGTTTCTGCTGGAGCTAGCAACCAATTAGGAGGTCGTTTGCACATGTTATGCTGATAGCCTCTATCATTTCAGCAAGCATCATGCTTTGATTGATCACGCATCCCATGAAAAGTTATAGGATACACTCTGGAAGTGGAATATCTCGTCACATTGGCAATCGAAGGGCGCTGCTGCTGGGGGCGGAGCACAGACCGTGGCGGGGCTCAGAAAGGAATGGCAAGCCTTGTACGCTGCAACTAGCGCACCTTTGACCACAAAAACGCAACATTTCGTTTCCTTGGGCCCCTGACTACTGCTTCCAATGGTGCATGTACTTCCACGCTGCATACACACTTTATCGTAATCTCTCGCTTTAAAGGCAAAACTCTCAATAAAACTAGTGTTCATTGAAGAGAAAGATGGGCAGTAGAGGAGGAAGGGAAAGTCCATGTATACGATATGTGGCGCTTTCGCGACAGCAAGCGCCCTATTAGCGGAGCTATGGAATCCAGAATGTTGTATTCAGGAGCGCCTTTCTTATCAAGCCGCCTTACCTTGACATCTTACTTATTTCAACTTTCGTTTCCGCGTTTGGGTACCTCTTCTGCGCAGTAAGACTGCATATTATCATAACGATAACACAAGAAACGATGGTGCTAACTTACAATTCGTAGGGGGGGGGGGTGAACCACGCCGATAAGTTGTTGCAACATCCAATAACCGTGGCTAACTCGTCTAAATTTGGAGTCAACGGAGAAGAAGCGGATGCCACTTCTTAGGTTCTGACAGGCTTGATTTGTTCGCGGTCGCATCATCTAGCAGTACTGCATTCAAATTTTGACAGTGTCAGCCTCACGAGTTTTTACTTTTGGATAGACTGGGGGCAACCCAAACAGGGCCAATTGAAAACTGTTAACTAGAAACATAATGACTAACCAGGTTTCGTGAATGGACTGCGACTTCTGGCCCGGTGATATATACCGTGTATATCGGTCAGTTCAGAGAACTTCTAAAACCAAGGTATCTCGTGTCGTGCGAATAAGAGATTTTTTATCGAAGGTCACGAGAAATGAAGCATTTGTCATCGTACCTTGAACACATCTTCGTCCGCTTCTGACTTTTGCTCTGATGGATCGACTGTCCGGCTTTGATAAGCACTGAATTCAACAAATTAGCGCAAAGTATTGATTAAATGCGCAGCAGTAGCTTCAGGGGATGTGAAAAGCTAACCTGCAGGGCTAGCTGGGTGTGTGATTATGTGGAGTCACAGCAGTGTGTCAGTGGGCAACGAGAAGCCTCTCGAGAGGTGAATAAAGGTGAAAAAATCCTCGAAGGGCGATCGCCTTTGCAATTTTTCAAGGAGTGGGTGGGTGGAGAGGAACATAGATTGGGAGCAGACAGGGCAGGAGAAGTGAGTGACAACATTTGTGTGTTACATGCGCTAAAGTCCAGTCCTCTTCGGTCACTTCTTGGTTGTTGCTTCACGGTGCTTTATCAACAAGAATCAACTATTCAAAGCTGGCAGCTGATGTGTGGCTTGCTCTAGGGCTATGGACACATTAGTAAAAGGATATTCGATATACCGACGGACTCTACTGCCCACCATTCCTATCCATATCTATCCGAAATCAGAGAAAGCTCGAACTGGACACCACAAACCGCATAACATATAACCACAACCATATGTCAATCTTGGGCTCGCGTCGGGAAGGCGAAGCTTGGGATTCTGGTTTCGCGAGCACACAGCAAAATCAGGTCACACTTACTGCTCGCATTCGAAATGAAAATTTATGTTAGCTAAAGCTTGCTTCTTCAACGCGCGATCGCTGTGACCTCACCTGCAGGTAAGTTTTTCCATAAAGGAATGGCTTACCGGGGCCGCGAGAACAGTGAGTTCCCTGACATTGTATCGTCCTTTAGGAATGTCATTGGCTCTGCTGTCAGTGAATTGAGAGCCCTGGAAAGCAAATCAACACAGTGTTGACAGTGTAAAAGAACCAGTCAGAGGCTTTGTGAAAAAGTTTTCATATGACCATGAGGTTTTCTCAGGCGATCACAAAATCAGTAGTTTATAGCGACAAACAAGAAATTCTCACTTCAGTGTCCTATAGAGTTCTTTAGGGTCAGTAGGGAACGTTACATCCTTCCCAGAATTCTTAGAAGGTCGACTCCGGTTTTTTAGAGCTTGCCATTTCGTTTGATCCATGGCCTTTCCTCGCTTATGACTACTCCTGGAGTCTTTCCTGAAAACGATCAACGCCTTGACGATCCGATATCAAATGTTCCCTTGCAGATCACCTGAGATACTGTGATAGGGATCCATGTAAAACACATTCTTTTGCTCATGTGAAATTTTTGTAGATTTTCTGCGATCATCCCATAGTGACACAACGTACTCGCAAAAGCTTCGTCCACTGAACGGTGATACAATTGACGAAGTACGCTATTATATAAGCTTTTTTACTGAATCTTTTATCCTTATGTGGATATCTGTGGTTATGTATCCGCTCTACTTTCTAGCTCCAGTGAATGCGCCCCGTAGGACGGTGTGGCCTAATAATGGACCATGGCCATCTCACGAAATCGTATCTATGGCAAAGAACACACGGCAAGGAAGTAGAATGAATGATAACATTAACGCATTAGTTGAAAGGTTGTGTACTCATTCAACGGAAACACCTCCGGCTTCAGAAATCCGACGATGCTGAGTAATGAAACTGAACTCTTGTCGTTGATCCAGTTCTCGGCTAGAGGGGAGGAACGACTAAAGCCTCCGCAGGTACAGGAGGAGGAATCACAGAGAGTCCTCACTACTCGATCCTGATTTCCGCTTTCGTTCTCTCGTTCTGCAATGAGTGCTTTTCTTTGGCTTGCACGCTTATCCAAAAAGGCATCTTTGCGTTTTTCACGTTTTGTTGTTTTGTTATAATGATAGAATGATACTTGAGCTCTGTTGGTGCGGGGAATTGTTGGCTGCTTATATGGCGCAAATTAAAAGGGATTAGTTTACCACGAGTTCTCGTTTTTTCGTTTTTCTTCACACATGCCCCAAGCACCATCTTCATTTCATTTCCCAGCAGTAACCACATACCCTGTTCCCTCACCCATATTCGGCTACATTATTACTATTAAATGGCTTATGCACAGCGAACAATTAGGTTTGTACCCTACAACTTGTGTTAAGCGGTCACAGATGACCACTCGGAAAGTTCAATGCAGAAGGTTAAAATTGCGAATAAAAAAATACTGGGAAATTACACTTTGTGGACTGATGCTAGATATGCAGGTAAAGCTAAAAGTGCACGAAGCATCATGGTATTTGGCCATCAACGGTGTTAGGTTTTGAGTTGCTGGAACAAAAAAAGATCCTTTTTGTTAATGAGATTTCAACAGACGAAAAGGCGGTTTAAAAAGCGCAAAACGTATAGTATGCTCTCCTAACATTAGCGCTCCTTGGCGAGGGCTTACAGTGCTAAGAACTACCGTCGGCGCGTACAGAGGCACCAGCGGGTCGCGACCGCTTTGGGTTAGGCAGTCGGGGCATGCTTTGGCGCCCGAAACCGCATGTGTTTCTAGGCACCATGGAGGGCTGATGCAATGGTAAAGAAAAACAAGGAACCTGACACTTCAAGTGAGAGGTTTGATGGCACATGCTTGACGAGTTCACACGAAGCGGGTCGCATGCGGTGGTGGCCTCACCAAAAGAACACCAATCATAGGGGCGAAGGTTGCCACTGGGGGTTGTGAGCTCTACAACCAAGGGGCCGCGAGTTCTACTTCAGACAAGGTACAGACGGACCACAAGGTTCGTTGATAAGAGCGAGTTGCATGCAACTTCGAATTTTGTACCGGAGCGGCTGAAATTAGGTTTACGTGTCTGGGTGTTATTGTTCGATGTTATTGTTTTGATTTATGGTCCCTATACAGATTTGTTCCTTGGATGTTTGAAGACATTCCTTTCATGATTGGACGATCGCGTTGCTTGGCTGTCTTTTCAGGGAACTTGGTGATGCTACACTTCAGACAATTCAGTTCTTTTAAAATAACCAGATTAGTCCCCCGTCAACCGCCGGGACCTTCCTTTCCTGCGCAAGCTTTCTATCCTCCGCTATGGTCCCTTCCTCCTGTGACACCACCTCCTGGAAGTGACGCGTATGCAACACAATGGTGTTTCAAACAGTAGAAGGGACACAATCATGATATGACGGTAGATTTTTCGCTTCCTCTTCTGATCTTCCCTTCCCGCTTCTCCACTGCCTCCAGCTGCCACTGCAGCACTGTGGGAATGAACGGAAGTGTGCTAAGCAGGTGTTTATATAGCCCTAAGAGTGTTATCACAACTATCCTGCTACAAAACATTGATATCTCAAATCCTGTAAGCTACCCGATTTGTTAGCGGTTTGTTTATCCCATGAGCTTCCTTCTCACTCACTTCATTTTGCGGACGGACACACATACATACATACACACACACACACACACACACACATACAGATACACAAACCGACACACAAAGTTAGCGCTTTATAAAATAGAAGGATAGTAATGCTGCAAAACTCAACGAACTAAAAGAGTAATGATTGGTTGGACGTGGAAGGAAAGCTAGCATTGCTACTAAAAACAATGTTCAGAAAGTCGGCGCGAAGCCGAGCTAACACGTTTAATCCGCCATTCATCTCCTGCATCAACGCTGAGGCACTTATTGGCAGACAATCACCAGAAAATATCCAAGGGGAAGCCCCGCTCCCAAACGCTCACACTAAAGTGAAAACAAAGCCGCGCTGAACGGAAAAGGTGTCTCAATTCTCCATTGCCGATCTTTTCCAATGATGAGGAAGTATTCACAGTGGAATCAGTCTTGAATGGGTAGACGAGAAGCACTGCATTCCTTGCAGGCTAGGAGACAATGTTGCTTCTGATTTGTCTCCTTTGATTGTACAGATTTTCCCAGGATCATTTAATCTTGTTACCGTCATTGGTGGCCACCTTGTAGAGGTGCTTCAGGTTTTCATCACCGAGAACATATAATTTTGTTAGGAGTTTATCTGGTCCAAGGACCTCAGAAATTCTCGGGCACCCTAATAAACAAGGCAGTAGTTCCCTGGCAAAACGACGTCATACAGATGGCCAGATTTTCGCGCAAATTTTCAATGGTTTCCTATAAAAACTGGAGAGAAGAGCAGAGAATGGTGCGGCTTCCGCAGGATGATTGATTGCCCGAAATACGCGGAGCATCTGCTGAGGCACTCTCCAAGAGGATTCAGGCAACATGTAGATACGAATAATTTTTCTTTCTAAAATGTAAATGATAAATTGTAAAATTAGGATGAGACTGTGTTGCTGTTTTTGCGCGCATGGTCCAGGAATCATATCTTGGAAACAAACTTAGCCTTCCAAAAGGTTGCCGTTATGCTACGAGCCTTCAGTCTTTTTTCACATCTGCTACCCCGAACAACTCACTTGTAAGATGCGCATCAATCGAGAAACAGTAAGCACACATCAACCACACATAGTCAGCACAGGCATTCGACCACGACTACTCACAGCATCACGTCCACCACTATCTTACATATGTCGCACACAATCAACTCACGATCACCGAGCACAGGCAAAACATTTCATCATTATCGCACCACCAAACATTCACACACCAACACCTCTATGCATGCGAGCTGACCTCACACACACTATACAGCGAGCGCACACAACAGATCTCCGCGGATGAGCCAAAGTTGTACTGTCATAGCGCTTTCTATCTCGCGATGACAACTCACACAGCCCACGTCATGATTCTGTCTCGACTCGTGACCTTGACTAATAAGGAACGTCTCCAGCTATAAAACACAGTCATCAATCATGTAAAAATAGTATAGGTTACAGTATCCAATGGGGCGAACCTCTTCTTTCAAGATGATCGTCCTTTGTGCGACCTTTCAATATTTTTAACCGATTGAAGAGAACGTCTCGTTGTGCATCCCGTTTAGCAATCTGAAAATTGTGTGACGAATGTGATCACTAAAGTACACCTAATGAAGGTCGTTGTTCATTTTTAAAGCGCGGCGGAAAGTCATCGACCACCCACTTCGGGGAACGGCTTTGATTACCCGATCCGATCCAACGAACTGTTGCGCGATTATTGATCCTGCTCAATTCTTAGTTAAAGGAGGATTGCACGGAAAGAACGAAGGTCGAAGAAGGGAGAAATCGCCTAGTGGGGAGAGCGGTGAATCTCTTGAGGGTGCGGACAGACACGCAATCGGCATCGAAAGATTTGACCTCTGAGATCTAGCATGGCTCAAAGTTGGCGAGTTCGGCGATCTCCGCCCACCGATCGTCTGATCACTCGCCGTAGTACAATAGGTGGCGAGTGATTAGATAGCTGAGAGAGCGTAGGGTTGAAGAGGGCAAAGCGATGAGAGTCCCATCAATGCTCAAATCAACGGACAAGGAAGGGGTCCCATTTCTCCGGTTCTGGGCCGTTTTTCGTGGTTTCGCTTTCTTTCTGGTACTACTCACCATCTCTCCTCAATTTGAATGGGTTGCCCTTTTTCATCAAATAAATTCCTACCTTAATAATTCGCCTTTGACGAAGGGACAGGGCCAGCGTAATTCTAGAATGAAGTTTGCAATATTTAAGTCTCACGCCGCACCACGAATATTTCAACTTAGGAAACAATTTACTCTGACTTACTGTAGCCCATGTGTCTAGGCAACATTTTTGAGATAAAATCACAACGTCTGAATGTTCTAATCTTGGCAAAACCCTCAAACGGATTCACTTAACCGTAATCAATGTGAAATGTACTGAAAATGTCCATGAGAAAGTAAGTGTCGTCGCACGCGGTGCACGGGGGAACAATCACTACACTTCGTCCCAGAATATTTCGCTTGATATGTTTGGTCCATAATCCATAATCAGGTGAAACATGGATGTATGCAGAATTTATACAGGTCCTAACGACCGTCAGCAAACCGTATGAGATCGACTGTCTTCCGTTAGCTACTTCTTAAGAAGTTTGTGACTCAGGGTCTCTCATGAATTCATATTTTAATTTTCCGCATCACATTGACAACATTGCTAACACTCATTAAAGACTCCAGTACCCTAGTAATTTTTGAAATTCGGCACAATGGCATTCCTATTGTGATAAAACTGTTTCCATGTACGAACATGATCCTAGAAGTGCAGTCTCAGAATAAGGTTTTTTCCGTTTCACCTGCTTAAGGTCCACACCACACACACACACACACACACACACACACACACACACACACACACACACACACACACACACACACACACACACACACACACACACACACACACACACACACACACACACACACACACACACACACACACACACACACACACACACACACACACCACACCACACCACACACACAACACTTAGGCGTATATGCATACGAGTAGGATTATTTAAAGCCTTACTGGAACACAGATGTCCTTTGGACCCTAGTTTACTATATTGGTAACTTGTCGACCCGCGATACAGGACGCATATAACCGAAAATAGCGCTTGCTTATAACATGCACTTACTCTGCTCTTTCAGCGTTTCATAAATTCCCGTCCCTCCGCTTGACATGAGGTAGGCCTTAACCTCAAGACAGCGCAGGCTAAAAGACATCATGGCCAGAGCAAAAGGAACGGGGAATACTGACAAAGCTATGACGTGCCAGAAAGAGCGGCACTCATCGATAGTGTATCTTATTGTGTAAACGGCATATCTCACCTAGAGAGAGATCCGCAATGTTGTAGGCACGAAAATTAATGGAATCTTATTTACCAAGTTAGCGCGGGGGCCATCATGCTAGCGAGTCC